AAATCTTGAGCCATTTTTATTTTTTTTTGAGACATTATCTCCCTAAGTTGCTCAGGACCTCACTAAATTGTTAAAGCTGGCTTTGAACTTGTAATCTCCCTGCCTCATCCTCCTGAGCAACTGTAATTATAGGCACGGACCACTTAATAGTGATTCTCATCTGTATTTTTAAAGACTAATCATCTCTAATATATGCAATATTTCCTAGAGAAGAGAAAAAGAGTTAGAACTCTGATATCACTATATGCACATGTATATTTATGATTCCAAAATCAATAAATGATAATATGCCTATACTCAGATATATTTTATAATGACTTTTTGATGTAGAAATCCCAAATAAACAAATCTAAGAATGCTTTAATATATTAAATATTTTGATCAATGAATGAAAGCATCTACATGTAACAGAAATTATACTGTTCACTTTGGAGAAATGTGCTCTATATTTGAATTGAATAAATGATATCTTCTAATACTTCAAAGTTTGAAAGTTTTTACCATGAAGTAAGTCCAGAAATAAATAAAATATATATTTTTTATAGATTTCACATACAAAAAAAAATATGTAAATTGCGATTGTTTCATGTTTTTCCTATGCATTTAGTATCCAGGAGAATATGAGTTTAATATTATTGAGATCATTTTTTGAAAATGTGGGTAGACTCAAACAGAATGCTTTGTGATTTGTATTGCTACATGAAGACACTAAGTAAGGATTAAATTATACATATTCTCACCATTGTTATTGTTGTGAGTCATTACTAATTGTTTTACTGTTTAAAAAGCTATAGTTGTAACTGAAATTTGCATAAGAAAGAGATTAAAGTAATTGTAATTGCTTTCTTTCAAATCAGGAGGGAATTTGGCTTTGTTTCTACAAATATTTTTGTACTATTTTAGATTTTTTGCTGACTTTGATTAAATACCAAAGGCTATGCTTTTTCTCCCATAAAAAAAAAACGCTATTTTTTTTTTTTTGCAAATTAGGTTACAAATAACAACAGTATCTATTTAAGTCCCAAGTAAAATAATATGAAGCATAAAGGCAGTCTTGTTTATTAAATTATAAAAATATAAAAAGATACATTTCTAAATAATTTAATTTTAAAAGGGTAAATTTGTCTTTATCTAAATGTTTATACATGTTGTTTATGAGAACTGAATAATTATTTTTATCCCTAAGCCAGTAATGAGTGACAAATCTTTCAAACTTGTCTTCTTCATGGAAAAGTATAGCAAAGAAGAAGGAGCTCTCAGGTGTAGCCAGAATAATTAAAGATATTGATGATCATTTGATGCATTTCATTACTCTTGTTAATTTTTATGGCTTAACTTGTCTTAAGTGAGACATAATTATTCTAAAACAAACTTACCTTAAAGCTTTTATTCTCATTAAGGAAGAAATATTACTGTGCTTCATTCTTTATTCAAAGTAGACACATGGTATTTCCCATCTCTGAAAATTATTTTGTAACTATCTGCTAGGGATGTTTATTTCTCTAAGGATCTTATATCCTTCTGGGATTCTACCAGTGATTATAAAATGCTAATGCTTTTAAAATATTCTGAAATTTTTTGGTCCTGAATAAATATCACATTCTCAAATTTTTATGTCAATATTTAATATTTAAAGAATTATAGGCATATTTTCAGTATACTCTTCATTTAATTGAATTTTTAGTTATGGAAAATTTATACTGAATAATCCCAATATGTGAAGATTCGTGGAAAATAATGCTACCAGTAAAAACGTAGATGACTTATATAATTGAAATGTCTTTCACTAGTTCATTGCTTAAAGACAAATCAGCAATATATAGAAATTTTCTGGTTCTAATAAAATTCTTGGGTAGAAATAGATGTAAATATCTGTCTGTAGGGAGGCATACTGTACTGCATGCATATCTAATTTCAAATTGCATCAAGTTCTTCCAAATAATACCTTTGTTTTATCAACTGACTTGAGCTCCCTACCTAATTAGATAGTAAGTATGACTAATGATTTGAGTTGCTGTCATTATCCTATAGTTCAAATGTAACCTTAAAAATTGATATGGTGGACTGGGGATATAGCTCAGTTGGTAGAATGCTAGCCTTGCATGCACAGCGCCCTGGGTTCAATCCCCAGAACCACCAAAAAAAAAAAAAATTGATATGGCAAGTGTTATATACATGTATGAATATGTCAGTCAATCGAGCTAGTTCATATATACTTTTAATGCACCAATTTAAAAATTATAGAAAAGAAAATATGACCAGAACAGTAGATATGAGCTAGTTCTTAAACTCCTCCTGTTTTATGTGTACTTTCACCATCATAGTTGTTTGGGTATGGGTTTTTGCTATCATTTAGTCATGCATTCTCTCCATGCCATAAAGGAAAGGATGCTAACAGTTATGAGGCTTCCAACTGATCTCATAGAAAACTAAGCTCAGGAGTCAGAAGTGATAATTCTGTCAAGGTGGTTCTAGAGCTACTGCTGCTCTTGAAGACATGAAAAACAGGAATCCGCTGATTTTCATTCTTGTTATTCTGTACTTCAATGACTCAGCTAATTCTCCCTGCTTCTTACTATCACTCTAACAACTGACCTCCTCTGCTCATTATTTGTACAGTAATTGACTTACCACAACATCTACATTAATCTACCACATTCCTTATCTGTTTCAGCTACAATCTAGCTAGTTCTCTCTGGGGTCCTAATTTAAATGTATCATAATAAATCTAATATGCCCAGATTCTATTTTGGAGTCAGAATTTGTGCTATACTTCTTCTTTGCCCTGGAATTGTTGTATCTAGTGATCAGGAAATGGTGCTAATGGAAGCAATGAAGGGACAGTTGCAGATTCCAGAGATGTTATCCCCACCATAAAACATTCAAATCTGAACTCTAGATCAAGGACACTCACTTATGGGCCCCAAGAATGGTCACATACTAGTATACTGTTATATATAAAAAAAGAAAAATAGTATCCATTTATTTAAATGGTTGTAGTTATGAATGGTTACAGTAATAGTCTTTACTTTGATTAATTAAGTAATTTGTACTTTTTACTAGATTATTATGATGATAAATTTATCATCTACAACAAATTAACTGGTTTTACATAAAATGAACATAGATATTACTCACAAATATAGACTTTAAATCTAAAGAACTTTTGGAAACTTTAACACAAAAAGGTGATACATGTTTTTCATGGGGCCATATGCAATAAATAAAATGGTCAAAATATGCATGAGAGGAAAAATGTGCATCAACTTCAAGGATAGTTATTACCTTTGGGAAGAATAAATGAAGGAAAATTAGGCAGAGTTTAAATGGCATTATAACAGTTTCTTTATGAAATAGCTAAAGAAATTGGACAAAACAATTCTATCTGCATAGGGGTGGGCCCACAGGACATTTCACATATTACTTACTCTTTTGTTTTTGAAATATTTTATAAATAATCAATTTTTAAAACTATGTTTATGGTGAAAAGTAACCCTCTTTTAAACTTTATTTCCAGCCCAATGACTTATTTTGCAGTCCAAGATAATATATACAATGGTTCCCTTTCATCATTCTAGGAATCTTTAAAGCTATCTTTTCTAATAGATGAAGTTACTGGACATTAGAAGTATGGCTAGTCCAAAGACAGATGTGCTATGAATGTAAAACAAACATTAAATTTAAAATACAGACTACAAATAAAGAATGTAAATCTGTCATTAAAAATCTATTATGGGGGCTGAGGTTGTGGCTCAGCAGTAGAGCACTTGTCTAGCATGTGTGAGGCCCTGGGTTCAATCCTCAGCACCATGTAACAATAAATAAATAAAATAAAGGTAATGTGTCCCACTATAACTAAAAAATAAATATTTTTAAAAAATCTATTTTGACTGGAAGCGCAACAGATCACTGGTAGAATGTTTGCCTAATATATACAGAGCCCTGGGTTCCATCCCCAGCAACACACACAAATGCATTAAATGTACAAATAATAGTATTTTAAATCTACTGAATGAAACATATCAAGAAAATCAATTCACCCATCTTCTTACTTTTTAAAATATGTGATTACCAGAAAGCAGCAAATTTGAGAAATTAAATGTTTCATCAACTATCATGTCTTTTTTTAACCATTATGGACACTCAGAGATTATAAAGACTATACATTTTATAAAAATTCTAACACTGTGTAATACTGCTTTTCTTTCAAAGTACTCAGGTCAGATAAAAATGCAATATCTATTCAAATAAATACACCTGGAATACAACCTTAAAGTTGTAACTGTAGATGCTAACAATATGATCACCAAGAGAAAACATCACAGTTTCTTAGATACAGTTTATATAACATTTCATACCTTTATAAAAGGTAGATCACCATACATTTGCTCTCAAAGCTGGGCACAGGACTAATTTAACACTAGAATGTTTATGAAGGGAAATTCCTAGGTTACTAGACTTGACATAAGAATGTATTTTCTAAGAACCATTTTTTGTAATATTTTTGTTTTTATTTGTTCTTTTTAGAAATAGATGGCAGTAGAATGCATTTTGACATATTATAAATATATGGAGTATAAAGTACTCTAATTAGGATCCCATTCTTCTTGTTGTACATGATGTGGAGTTTCACTGGTTGTATATTCATTTATGAACCAATTCATTCTACTGTCTTTCCTATTCCCATCCCTTCCCTCTTCAATTTTCTAAACATATTGTTTAGCAAAATAAATGAATTACAGTTGTAATATGCATGGTTTCTCAACTTTAAAAAAAATGAATTTATTGTTACCTGAGAAAGAATATTTTCATATAATCCTTAAATATATGTATGAATTGAATAATGAAGCTTTTGATTAAGAAAATTTTTAATTAATTATTCTTTTTCAATATTTGATAAAAAAGGGACATTCATTTTATTGTACCTGAAAATAATCAAAAATAAAAACCCATACAAATAAATTTTGGATGGATCTACATAATATTGTATTCATTTTCAGATTAACTTTTTAAAGACTGAAGTGGAAAGAAAGACCAAAATGATCCGAGACCTCCAAAATGAGGTAAGATTTATATTTCAGGAACATTTTGTATAAATCACAGAATACATAAAATATACACAGAAATTTGCTACAAGTTTGGAGGTTTGATCACATGCTGACTTGACCTTTGATGAATAAAGGCGAGAAAACTTGAGGCTAGAAATTTCAAATAGTGAATAATTTCCATGATTATATAATTTGATAGTAGTATTAGTCTAAATTTCCCAGCTCATTTTGCTAATTATATTTTGTTAGGCTGATATTAAAATTTTTATTTCATGAATTTAATGGTCTCTTAAATGATATCATAAGCACTTTAAAAAAAGCAAGGAGGAATTTGGTTGCAAAAAATAATCTGGAATGTAAAGTGCATTCCTGAAAAACTCAAATTCATAAACCAGCTGTAATTTTTGACATAAATGAGCTATAACCACTTGCATGATAAATTTTAACATATGAGGCCCTATTACCATGTTTTTCTTCTCTTTAATTATATAATTACTGTTTTTCTGATTTGATCACTTTTTATTTCCATTTAAGTGCAATTATGCAATTCTGATCATCAATTACTAAATAGTAACAAATCTTACTTGAATAATTCCACTAACTATGGCCTATTTTGAATCCCAAATAAATATTTTTTAGCACATATTTTTCTTCCTTTCTTCCTTTCTGTCTTCATTATTATTCATTCTTTATTCCCTCCCTCTTGTTCTTTTCCATTACTTTTATTTTTTTCTAGATATTTTAAACAGCAAATGAACTTTATTATTTCCAAATGGCTTCCCTCTTGGTATTCAAACTCAAAAATAATCTTTGATATTTGGTACCAATATTCTACATTTATACCTGGATTATGACTTTAAAAGACTAAAATCTGGAAAAGTTGTACAGAAGATTAGAAAGCAATAACAGTTCAACTTTGTTTTAATGATTCTATTGCATTTTAATTTTGTTCTTAATGATTTCTTTTTTTCTGAGTCTTCTCAAGCAAGTGTACTAGGATGTACACTGTATTTTCTAGATTTCTTGACTAAGGTGATAACTTTCAGCAGATCAGAGTTATCAGAATATCGAATATTCTGGATAAATACCTGTTTATTAGAGTACAGTTAAAGCTCAGTGAAAGATTAAATTACTCAACTAAAAAAAAAAAGTGAAAGAGGAGAAGGAGGAGGGGAAAGAGAAAGAAGGAGGTGGAAAAGGGAAGAAGAAGGAGGTGGAAGAGGGTAAGGGCCAACATATAATTTAAAGTAAGGTAAATGTTTAAAACAATGTTAAAATAAGCACTAAAATATGATAAGAAGTGTGTTTGCAGCTGCACACACATGCACAGACACATATACACAGCAATAAGAACCCAGCTACTGGAGAAGTGGATTTTGGGTTCATTAGTTATTTTGTAAGTAATATCAGTTAACTTCTAATCTAAGATGTTTTTTTAAAACTCTAATATTCAATTTAGGAAAAAGAATTTTGAAAAATAGAAGTTTAATTTATTCCTAGTAAGTAAATATAAAGACTGATAAAAGATTTTGTTTTACGGGATCACTTTATAGAGAACTTCTAATTTGATACTTGTGTAGACTTAAAGAATTTTGAAAGAACTATATCTTCACAGAGGTAAGATCTGCTTAATATAAGTTATATAATTAAATTTACTCATGTTTACTTTCATGATATTGAAAATCTATGGGATATAAACTGAAAACCTCCAAACAATCTTTAAACTTCTTAATAGAACCTAATTCTGGACACATATCAATTTAATGTTTAAAATTCTCTTTCTTCACTTGAATGATTACTTGAATGTTTGTGTTTATTATTTGGGCAAGTTGTCAGTATGGTGAGAATGAAGCAAATTTATAAAATAAAGTAATTGACCCATACTCTCTACACTGAAATTATATGGATATGAAATATATCCAGGAGTAACAAATGAAACAAATAAACTTATTAAACAAAACAATAACAAGCAATTGAGACAATAGAGGTATAAATAGATATCTAGAACAGAATTGAAGTCTATGAGTGACAACATTTGAATTAAAGTATTGGTGAATTCTCAATATGAGACTTTTGAAACATTATTAAAGAAATTAGCTTTTTTTCATATGTGAAGGCATAAAATGCACTTTTACATTAGCTCCCAGTAGCTTAGATTTTAATATTTAAGTTATTCCTTGGAGAGGAAAAGTTTATTCAGACTATAATTTTTTAATGTAAGGACTTCATATGCAAGAAAACCTCCCAGTGTCCCCATCCAGGCATACCTATCTGGAACAGACTACATGGGAGTCTGTGCCCCAGAGATTTGTGGAGTCAGAAATTATAATTGTAACTGGGAAGAATACAGACAGCAAAATGGAGATGAAAGAGGAAAATGATTAGTGGGTTTTTTCTTTTTTACAGGGGGAAGGGAGAATAATGGTACTGGAAGCTGGGTGAGCTCTGAGTACTTCATCAGAGCATTGCGCATATACCTCTGTGTTCACCTTTTTTCACAAGAGCATGACTTTTAGCCTCTGAATTGGAATGCTGTTACTTATGAAAGCTCTACTGAGAACTAGGTGTCTTCAAGTCTCAGTTCCTGGGCCTCTCCTCTTGTTCAAATTCTTTTTTATGGAACATTCAAGTCCAATCTACTTTTTCTCAGTTTTTTTTTCCTTGCAGCAAATTAGCAATTAATAAAGGACAGAATTATATAAGTTTTAAAACTCATATTTCCCCTCAATATGTTAAGATTTGAAGCAATAGGGTCATAGCCTTGTCAAACTTTTGAGAATTTTTTTTAAATCAATAAAGAACTCAAGAAAAATAGAAAATTTATAGAAAAGCCTATACTTATAGTGGGATTTAGTGCTTTCAAAATTCCTATGCTTTACACTGCACCAAGATATCTGGCTAAACTGTGAATAGAGAAGATTCTATTAGAATTTTTCATCTGCATGAAAACAAGAGATGAATGAAAAATCCATCTCAGATTTTAATTTTTATGCTAATGTGCTCTATAAGAAGCCAATTCCCTCCAGAATCTACATCTTAGGACACTAAATCCTGAGTTTAAGATGAGATTTTGCTTGTATGTTTATTTGTTCTGTTGTTGTTTTTGGTAATACTACATTTACAGATTTATACAATAAGTGGTTTTACTAATTCTATTTTTTCCCTCAAACTGCACTTTCTGTGTGCAATTTGCAGAATATAAGCTTTCCCATGAAGCAAAAAAAAAAAATGTTTTCCATTACTTCTTAATCTATGCCTGTTGTTATCTTTCCAGTGCAACCCAGCTATTAAAATGTAAACTGAGGCACAATAAATATTTTAAAGAGTAAATTTGAACAGCCAGTAATTTGTGAAGTGTGCAACTCCAAACCAGAAGTGACTTGGAGCTCCACCAAGGAAGCTCTAGAGAGAGGATTTTATAGGACAAACAGAAGTAAAGCTAAGAAAATATTAGATTGATTACAGTTATACAGTTGCCTTATATAGCTATCCCCTTAGGAAATCTCTAGTTTTATAGTTATTGGTTAGTTTCTTCTGATTGGTTAAGCTTGAATTCTCTTTGATTTAATGAGTTTTTATAAGAAGTGGTTCCAATTAAGTTTTGTTCATGTTTGCAAATCAAGCAAGGTTAAGGCCACTAATGAATCTTAACTGGTCTTGTCTGCTCAGGTAGCCTTTAAAGCCTGATCTCTGTTTTAATTCATTTTAACACATTTTTTACATGTTTACTTTCAATTTTTTATTTGGATATCATAGGACAAAATTTATAGGAACATTTCTTCCCATAAAAAATAAAATAAAAAACAAAGAAAAAATTCAGTCTTCCTTCCCTGACTTCCATATATCTGTTCACGGCATCATCTAACATAGTCTAGCTCATGCCATGCAAAGCTGAGATTTCATTTTGAATTTTTACTTTCAATTCCCTCTTTCTCTATTATCACTTCTATTTTTCTTGAGTTTCTTCCAATTTTCTGCTGGGATCAAATTAGTTTGTTTATAATGGTTTTAGATAAAAGAAAGGCTCCAGGAACAAGCAGGCTAGTACACAAGGCACATCAGGCATTGTGACAAACATCCTTGATAAGTTGAAATCCCTTAATGAAAGAATTGAGTTTAACAATGTTCAGGACATTTTATGGGAGTGCATAGCAATGTGTGAGGGAAAAGGGGAGGTTGAGAAAAGAGGAAGGAAGCAAGGGGAAGGAGAGGGAATGGAAAAGAGGGAAGACAAGACAGGAGATATATTTTCCTCCATTCTTTCCTATGGTGGTAGTTTTTGTTTATTTGTTTTTTCTGGATTTTGACTTTTTTTTCCCTTTGGGATGCATTCAAGATACTTCCAGATAATGATGAAATAAGGAATCACTCTGAAAACAAGGCCAGGAAAAATGAATGTGCTTCAGTCTTCTCAGTGGCGGAAATTAGGAACTCCTAAAAGCTACTTTCTTAGTCAGCCTTTCTCTCTATTTCATGGTTCCATTTTTCTCTACTTACAGTAACATAGGGACCATAAAGTTTAATCCAAATTTGAGTTTACAATCTGTCACCTACAGCTCTTTTTATTAATTCATTTAATCTTCTTTTAAATTTGTTTGACATTTCTCTAAATACCTGGGAAGAGCACCTTCCCATAAGTATCTCTGGGCTTTCAAATAGTTGCAAACCACTCTTACTCATGTTCAGACATAGAAGAATAAGGAATAGGCTTGTGAGGGGTAGTATAGCAGTTAGTAAAATTCATGGTTGTGGCAAAGTACATGGTTAAGAAAGAAAATTACTTGGCTATATAGCTATTCCACAAAATTATTAGAGGAAGTGCAGTTATAGCTTTTATACTGACCTTTAGGAAAAGCTCCTCAAACATACTTCTGACAAGACTAAAGAATGGGTCTCCTGTGCCAGATCCAGAAGTGTCCTGTCTGTATGGTAACCCACAATAGCAGCCTTGAGAACCATATAGCCTTAATGTCATTCACAAAGACAGTGGACTAAAGTTACCCTGGTTTCAAATG